CCCCCGGGGACCGAGGGGCCCCCCCCGCTCTCCCCAACAGGAGGGGCAGCTGCTCAGGTGTCCTGCCCCCCAGTGGCCTCTTCTATAAGAACGGGCTTTTTCTGAGCCCCTGAAGACTGCCCCCACGGCTCCCTCTGCCCCCCAGGACGCCCCTCACCTTGTCCATGTACTGAGGGATGACGGTGGCCAGCAGGCTCGCCATGTTTTCGCTCAGCTCCGAGGGCTTGAGGACCACCGCGTTCCCTGCAGAGCCGCAGGTCAGGCTGCGCCCGCTGCCCCCCAAGGACTCCGCCCTCCAGGCCTCCGCGCCCGCAGCCCCACCTCCCATGCCCCGCGTCCTCAAGAGAGCCGAGGGTAGAGTGGCTGACATGCGGGCACACACTACAGGAGCACACAGGTCATACGTGGGCATGCACCACAGGAGAACACAGTGTGCATCGCACACACACGGCACACACATGAGCACACAGCTAAATATACAAGCACACACAGTATACATGGGCACATACAGGTAAACACACACCTGCACACACCGGTCCACACCTGGTCACACTCAGCACACACACAGGTAAACACACAAGGACACACAGATGCACATGTGTTACATACAGAGAATGTACATGAACACACACATGCATGTACGTGTGCGCACGTGTAACATACAAGCATACACCTGCGCACGCCTGCGCACACAGGTAAACACAAGCGCACACGGCATACACGGGCACACAGCACATGCACAGGTAAACAGAGAGCACACATGGGCACACATGTGAACACACCTGTGAACACACAAGCGCACACAGCATACACGGGCACACAGCACATACACAGGTAAACAGAGAGCACACATGTGAACACACATGTGAACACACAAGCACACACGGCATACATGGCCATGCAGCACACACACAGGTAAACACACAGGGCAGCGCTGGCCAGAGCTGCCGTCCGGGCCCTGTGCACTGAGCCGGGAGGAGGCAGGAGAAGGGGAGAGCAGCGGCCTCCTGCCTCCTGGCGAAGAAGCCCTGATAGGATCCGGGTCCCCACCGGGCAGGGAGGACACGGGTGGCGCCTCCACTCTGGGCCTCCCAACGGGCGCTCTGGCTAAATGGTGATCCGCACCGACCACCCCAGGCGCTCCCCCAGAGCGGAGCCCTGAGCCCCCTGCCCTGCTCGGCCGACCGCCCCGGACGCCCCTCCCACCTGCGGCGATGGCGCCCACCATGGGCTGGATGGTGAGGTTGAAGGGGTAGTTCCAGGTGCCCATGATCAGCACCACGCCCAGGGGCTCCGAGTGGATGTAGGACTCGTCGTGCTGGGTCCGGGGCGTCTTCTCCACGGGCTCGTCCGCGGCCCACTCGGGCAGCTTCTGGATCATGTAGTCGATCTCCTCCAGCACGTACACCATCTCCTCGTAGTAGGCCGTCCACTCGTTCTGCAGAGGGGCGGCCGGGGG